ATAACAAAATTCATCCTCTCGTTAAATCATCACACTTTTGTTATTCGAAATGGCTGGTGCTTATGATACTGAACAACAAAGAATGATTGACCGGATTAAGTGCATCGCTTTTCGCGAAGCTCGCGATGCTGGTGCAACATTTATAAATAGACAATGGATTGCGGATAAAGTTCATCGCACAACTCGATCTGTCTCAGAGTGGTGGGAAAAATCATATGACCAATGTTTTGCCGACTATTCAAATGTTGGTGCTAAACCTAAATTATCAGAAGCTAGTAGAGATATTATTCGTCAAGCAAGTGGTCAACAAAGAAAAAGTGGTCCTGTTGTGGCAAAGGAGATTGCAGAAAAGCAAAAAGAATATGCCACCGGAAGAACTATTAATAATTATCGTCACAGAGAAGGATTAAAACCATTTCATGTTATTCCAAAACCGTTAAAATCTGAAACTCATATATCAGATCGATTATGGCTCTGTGACTGGTTAAAGGATTGGACCGCAGAAGATTTTCTTCATCTGGCACCATCTGATGAATTTTATATTTGGACTGTCCGCCGACCAAATTATCAGAATGATAGAATCTGGGCGAAAAGTATCGAAGACATTACTGAAGATGAAAGATATCGTGAAATGGTAAAAAATCAATCATGTGTTGGAGTTTTTATAATGTTTACTTGCAAAAGATTACTATGGATTATCAAGGATAAAGGGGAATCATGGACAGGTCAATGTTTTCGCAATATTGTTTTGATTGAAAATGTAATTCCTTTTTTAAAAAACGAAGAAAATGTTATTGATCCTGATGAAGTTATATTTGTTCACGATAAAGCACCGTGTATGCGAGCAAATAAAACTCAACATTTACTCCAAGACAACGATGTTAAATTTTGGGGTAATGATATCTGGCCAGGAAATTCACCTGATCTCAATGCGGCAGAACACATCGGGTCAATAATCAAAGATGAAGTTGAAAAAAAACTGTCATCAGAAAGTGGACATCATCGATATCTTGAAGAAACTCTCAAAATGCACATCGAAAATGTTCTCGCACGCATGGAAGAAGATACTGAATTATTTGAAAGTCTTCTATACTCATATCCATCTCGATTTCGTGCTGTAAAAAATGCTAATGGTCGGCACACAGATTATTGATTATATGCATTAAAGAATAAAAAAGAAACCATTTTCTAATGAATTTCATTCGAATACTACTTGATAAACTAGTTTTCTCATGACTTCCATGAGTGAAAAATCGGAAGTTTTCAGAGTTTGACATGTAAAAGTTTTTCAAAGCCCTTGTATTTAGCATCACTAAACCCCGTTTTTCACGGGCTTTCATTTGGTATAAAATTCATCATACCTCCGACTCGGGATTATATCGTTACCCCCCTTGAATAATATTCTTTCCGACCCTGTATTNACATTTGAATAGTCGGCAAAACATTGGTCATATGATTTTTCCCACCACTCTGAGACAAATCGAGTTGTGCGATGAACTTTTTCCGCAATCCATTGTCTATTTATAAATGTTGCACCAGCATCGCGAGCTTCGCGAAAAGCGATGCACTTAATCCGGTCAATCATTCTTTGTTGTTCAGTATCATAAGCACCAGCCATTTCGAATAACAAAAGTGTGATGATTTAACGAGAGGATGAATTTTGTTATGGTATATATATCGAGAAGAATATTATCTTTTATGTCCCACGATATATCTCCGAAATTTCTCTCCACTATGACTTTCGTGCAGAACGAAAAGAAAAAAATCTTTGATAGAACAACTGAAATTAAAAGTAGTAAACAAAAGAACGCAAGAGAATCATCTTGTTTTCTGGATTATAGTTATGTTTTCTTACGTAACCATAACCTTTTATCATTTTTTCCTATAAGACTCTTCATTTTCAGTATCTCTAAACTCATTAAAAATGAGTTATAATGATTTTTTTTCAACAAAACGTAGTCTTTTAAAGAGTTTGATATATGAAAGTTTTTTAAAGCCTTTGTGTTTAGCATCACTAAACCCCGTTTTTCATGGGCTTTCATTTGGTATAAAATTCATCATACCTCCGACTCGGGATTATATCGTTACCCCCCTTGAATAATATTCTTTCCGACCCTGTACAAGAGATAATATATGATAAGTGTATCCTGTATTGAATCGAAACAAATCGAATCTCTACTGTATGTTCCTCGTCGTTTCATAGTTCTCAGTACATACAGTATTACGCTACAGAAAAGTATCAAGCTTTATAAATAATATCTGAGATCTATCGCTATCATACAATGAGTTGATGAGCCAGATGATCATGCGATCATAGTCTTTTCAAAACACAGAGAGCAGAAACAGTCGTACATAAGAGTGCGTTTCTGATATCAATATCATATAAATGTTACATAATAAGAAGAAGAGATAAATCTATCAATATCTCTATGTTGGGTATATGGATTAAGAAGCTAATGTCGAAGTTCATATAGGAAGGAAGATAGCAGATAATTGTTGTATATGAAGAGGAAGAGAAAGAGAGAAGAGAGAAGAGGAAAAGTGTACAATCATAGATTGTCATAATACCAAATATCTATCGTTTGAAACTTAAATTTAACAGTCTACCCTTCCGTTCAATTATTCGAATATTCGAATACTTGCGAGTGAGTAAAAGGGTTCTGAAGGGACATCATTTCAGTGAGGATGAACAGAAGAGTTTTGAAAGCAGTCGAATATTCAAATAATTGAAAAAAAGACTGCAAAAATAGTTGAATAGTCGAGTCGAAATTTCGAGTTTCGCATTACTAAAAGACGCAAGGATCATAGTAGCTATTCTTAGCGGACTGCTGTTTCATGTGTGAAAAATGATCATGAATAATGGACATTACATAAATAACAAGAACGATGACAGTTGTTTGGTTAGTTTTGAAAAAGGTTGAAATTGACGAGGACCGTTCTCGAGACATCATTTGGAAGCACAAGTTTTATCTGAAGTATAACCCAATCAGTCGAGGGTAATGCGAGTCTCCCTCGACGAGCGTTATTTTATCTTAGTAGAATAAAATTTGAAAGTACGTGAAATGATATAAATAGAAATCTATTTTCATACACACGTGCGGAAGAAGGTTTTTCAAATGCAAAAATGATAAATTCTTTAGTAAATGTAGATAATATTTAGTTTTCAAAGTAATGATGACTCTATTAAAGATAGTAGAGATAAGTTACTCACTTTAGTTACTTTTCTCGAGCATATGTTGTGCTCTATTTTAAAATTAAACACCCATTTTTCGGAGGCAGTAAACTCATAGAATAATTCTTGTTTAGCTTTATCTAAACCCCAGCGACGTTAGTCGAGATCATGTACAGGAAGATTACATTCTCGAGCTTGTTCAGATTTATGATAAACATAATTATGCATATTTTCCCGTTTTTGCGTTCATATTCTTCACTTTTCAATATAAGCAAGAAAACGAGATATATATGATGAATCTGTAACACGTTCAAATCGACGTTTCACGCCCTTCCAAGATCGACGGCGTTTTCCTGTCAATGGATTTCTTTCGTCATATCCCCGATCGAAACCACCCTATCGGATCCGACATCATTCCCATGTCGGAATTTGCCGGATTGAGTAGGGTTTGACATCAACGACTATTATGACTACTACTTTTTATCAATTGACATTGGAGAATCGTTTTAATTTGTTTCCAGACGGCAACAGATTTCTCATAACTATGATCGCTCGATAAATTCTTCTAAAATATATAACTGAATATATAAAACGTAAGAAAATTTAGCACCATATCGACTATTTCTTGTCCAGATTCGCTGAGAGACCTGTACTGGGCTTAAAATCGGTTGCGCTGAACTCAGAATTCAATTCTCTATCGAACAATATAGTTTTCAACATGAACCATTGAGAACAAAATTCTCACACCCATCCACCCACACTCCAATCTTCGCCTGCAATGCTACACATCGAGACTTACATCATTCGATAGAGAATTGAATTCTGAGTTCAGCACAACCATTTTTAGACTCAGCACGAGTTGTTCAGAAAAACAAACTAAATCGGTGATTGTTTCTCTGGTGGTGAATTATTTGATGAAGATGCACTTGAAGGAATTGTTGAACGACGAACAGATGTAGTTGGTAATACGACTACAAATTCATGATCGTCTAAAAGAGGTCCAAGAATCCATGTCTGTTAAATGTTTCCTAGTATTGTTAAAACTTCCTTATGGACAACAAAAAAATCGGTTTTGATCAGAGAAACAGGTTGCTCATCGCTATCAACCATTTGAGAAGATGGTTTATCAAAAATCGAGCCAATGGTTTCATTATGGGAAATATAAGGAATTCTACAAATTTTAAAAATATCCTTTGCATGATCAGCCATAAATTTCAAGTTGATTGGAATACGATTACAAGCGTTACATATAGCCATTACAGCATGAGGATGTGAAGAGACAAGTCCCATAGCAACAACGTCTTGAATATGATTCTTAGCCAACGAAAGTAAAGTACCTGCTACACCTCGACCTTGATGAGCAGAGCAAACAACTAATTGAGTGATACAAACAGCATTACCATTTAAACGATCATAGTTGGTCTATGTGCTGAAAACATGACCGATCAGTTCAAATTGATCTTTCTCTAATGAACGTGTCTCTGCAACTACAAGAAAACGTCGATCATTAAAGAGCATCAACTCATGAAGACGCTTGACTCCAAGTTTAACGCGAGAACCAGTTTGTAAAACATTATTACTGTGAAGAGGAGCGTTGTGGTTCCAAAAACCGTAATTATTATTAAATAGTGTAGAGCATTTCTGGAGAATTTGATCCGTAACCAACGAATATTGAATAATTGTATAGGAAATTGGATTTGTCGCTGTTATTCCTATATATCTGAAGTAAAAATGTAACTAATACATTTCTATCCTTTTGTATTTACAAGAAAACAAACATGATTTAAGTTTACTTTAAATTATTCAATATTAATTTGAATACAGAATAAAGTTCATTGCTCTTTATCTCTTTTCAATTTGACCGATCAAATGATTGACCATCATAGGTGCCACTAATATACAACTATACATTTATTCATGATAAATTTGTGTCAAATTTACATATTACCATGCTTTGATCGTTAGTTTCGTTGGCATAGTCACCAGTTGCCAATCAGGCAATATTTACTAATTCTAAGCGTTGTTCTTCTCAAGAGAGAAACGGCACTTCGCAGTAACTTATACAGACATCAGTATAATGTCATTGCGCGGAATTCATGATGATTTTCTTCCGTTACATTCATTATTCGTGATCAGTTGCGACCGAAATGCTAATAAATACTCGAGAAATACGTACAGAAATTGAAATTACCTTCGCGATTTAATTTTTCATTCAGCGCGCAATCCACACTTGATCACAGTTGAACTAGTGGCCGACATCGAGATTATTATAAGCAAACAAATCATTCCCAACGAACGTCTTATACATTTTACTTTTTCACTAAAGATTATTGATGATCTTGTATTTAATTTAACCGTATTGAATGTTATTTTATATTATGCTCGTATCTCAACTCGATTACTACTACTGTCTGAATGGCCTCGCCGATCAATGTCCTATCTTACCGAATTTAAATTAACGACAAAAGAAAAAGTAGAATGGAAACTTGAATATTTGTAGGATATCGTTATAGTTCTTGGTCAAGTCGATGCTCTCTCGTTGGTTATGAAAAATGGGATTGGTTATAATGATTATCAATTTTCATCAGGAAGTCAAATCGAAACAATCTTCAGTAAGTAATTAATTCATATCCGTATGTATTGTTGAGGATATTATTTTTTGCTGATAAAATAACCCTTGTAATTATGATAATAAAAATGCTCTAGCGCCTCATAAATTAGAACTATTTTTACTGTAAAGCATAACTCACTATGGGCTACACGATGCACGAAACCCTGATTGAAAAGCGCTCCGGCACCTTGGAAGGTTCCCTCGTTAGTTACCAGTGTTTTTGCCCACCAAGTTATTACGGTGATGAATGTTAATATCAAAGCGAGCGAGTGAGTTTAACTTTAGGAATTTTTGCTGCTAATAGCCGTACGCTCTGTGTGATCGTAATAAGTTTGCTTAATGATGATAATGGTCGGCAAGAAATTTATACTACTGAACAGATGTTTTACTTACCAACACAAAAGTGCTCGATGAAGTATAATATTTACCTTTTATACCCAACGCGATCTAAAAACAAGTCAAAGAATTATAGCATTCGCACGGATGTTTTCAAGAGAATAGGCTTGGAATATCTTGCGAGTTGGCCCATTAAAATCCCGTTTCTCTACATACCCGTTAATCGACTGGCTATCATCTTGAGAATGCCAGCGTATCAAATACGTAACGTTCACAACTGTGCTCTGTCTTGGCAGAATGGCAGATGTTCGAAATATATGAATACAGAAGAATTCTTTTGTCAATGTCAGACTGGTTGGTCGGGTGCCTGTTGTTATATTCGAATACACTTTGTATCGATTCAGTTCACAAGCGGTCAACATGGATTTGTCCACTTGGCAAGTTTAAGTGCAGAAGAAGAAAGTTACGTATGAGTTTGTTCTGAACAATATTCTGGAAAGTATTGCAGACGCTTGAGAGATGCCATTCAGATTTCTCTAATTCATATAAAAAATCAGTGTGAAGCTAGCACGAAGGAGCTAACACGAAGAAACTGTGTGTAAGCTAAAAACTTTTTTCCAAAGTTTTTCCGGTCCATAAAACCTAGTCCATTCGACTCAGAATTTAATTCTGCGTCGAATGGTGGTATTGTTATTCACCGGACAAACTTTGGAAAAAAGTTTTTAGCTTACACACAGTTTCTTCGTGCTAGCTTCACACTGATATAATTATAATTCTACAACAATACACTCTGTCATTCACTTCTGATTGTTATGGTAGTTCATCTTAGAATTTAGTTTTGTATTGATGCATTCATTTGTAATAAGTGTTGCTTTACTGAAGTCGATAAGAAGAGACCAATAAAATTTCGAGGGAAATCTCATTTATTTGAGGACAAATATGTGCAAATTAGAACGGTGTTTTTTTCTCTATGAAGAAATGCACGCTGTACGGAAATCAACATTATCATTTATCAAAAGCTTTTTCCAACTATGATTTTATGAGCATACACGTTAGATTTGTATTTATCAGTAGTCAATATTCTTTCCATTTATTCTGTATTTCCTAAATACATTAAGTATTTTGTCACCTGCGCAACATTTTTATCTGCTAATAAATTTTACATCCCTTATGAGATTAAATTCTCAATTGTGACGATAGAAACTCGGCTACAACAATCTACCATTCTATATTTCTAAATAATGAAAGTAGCCAATAAAAGACCAACAAGTAGAATCAAACGATTACACAACTATGTTCTAAAACTAAACATCTATGGTGATGAAAGTGATTCGACACTCATTGATCAATTATTGTCGACACAAATATTCCTCATTCTGTTATTCATACTTCTGATTCTTATTATAGTTTATATCATTCTTAGTGTTCAAACTCATTCGGTGACTATTCAGTCTCCTTCGGAATCCACTTTCACACAACTGTCTCAACAGTATCCAAGCACACTTTCATGCCCATGTTCACACACATCTGTTCGACATGATTGGTTCCTCTCACTCAATCCTCAGTATCATTCCATTTGTACAAGTCGATTAGTTAACCAATCATTCATTTCATTATTATCTTCTGCGAATGTGAGTGAGCATTACATCAATGATTATCGAATAATGGCAACATCTCATTTTCAAATTCTTGCTTTACTTTGTCGAACAGTTCGACAAATGATTGATGATTCTTTGAGTGAACTCCTCTCACAACATTACACTACTTCAGAAGTTGTCTCAAACGAAACATTCAATGCTCAGATGAATCATCTTGTAGAACAATTGAAAACAACAAATATTGCCAATATAAAACATATAAGAGATTCTTTGTGGTTGCACATGTTCTACAATGCAATTCTTTCAGGATTGAAAACAAACTTTTGCCTTAAACACTCAAATGGTAGCGTTGTGGCCAGCGATATTCGTTCTTATTATCCTCCCAATGCGATCTGCGATTGTCATGGATCTATTGATTGCACTACACAAGCTACAATCACAAAGTTAGTATCGTCTAATGCAACTGTAAATCCAACGACGGCTGCGCGGAATCCAATCAGACTCTTTGTCATATCTGGCCTAAAAGTTGGTTGTCTGCCATACAACTCATTACTTCAATCGACTCTTGAATGTTTCTTCAATCAGTCATGCATTGATCGAATTGAAAAG